CTAGAAGCCTCAGGCAGAGCCATGAAACTCACAGAAACTTCGGGATACAAAGGAGGTTTGGGGGCGAGGGGAAAAGCGACAGGTATTTATTAAACCACATACTTCCTACACTATTTCTGTGCTCTATCTTATCCTATCTTCACGAGAATCTTATGAGGCAATAGGTAGGTCTTTTTTTTTTTTTTTTTTTTAATAGGTAGGTGTTTTTTTTTTGTTTGTTTGTTTTTTTTTTTTTGAGACGGAGTGTCGCTCTTGTTACCCAGGCTGGAGTGCAATGGCGTGATCTCAGCTCACCGCAACCTCCGCCTCCTGGGTTCAGGCAATTCTCCTGCCTCAGCCTCCGGAGTAGCTGGGATTACAGGCACGCGCCACCATGCCCAGCTAATTTTTTGCACCTTTAGTAGAGACGGGGTCTCGATCTCTTGACCTCGTGATCCACCCGCCTCGGCCTCCCAAAGTGCTGGGATTACAGGCTTGAGCCACCGCGCCCGGCAATAGGTAGGTATTTTTATCCTCAGGTGCCAAAAGTGGCCACAGCTGTAAAGAAGCAGAGTCGGGATTTCAACCTAGATGTGCTTGACTCCAAAGATCTGCTTTTTCCACCTTCCAGCTTCCTCAGAAACACTGGTTTCTATCTGCTTGGGTATTTCTCCCTATCTCCTGCCATGCTTTATTTCTGTCTTCATTGAGCATTTGCACTGAGCTGTAGTTCTTCCGAGGAAGAGAGGTCAGCACCAGACTTGGGTTGGTGGCGAGTGCCTGTACTCCCAGGCTTTGGGGAGGCCGAGGCAGGAGAATCACCAGAGGCCAGGAGCTTTAGACTGGCCTGGGCAACCTAGTGAGACCATGTGTCCACAAAAAAATTTTTTTTAATTAGCTGAGCATGGTGGTGCATGGTGTAGTCCCAGCTACTTGGGAGGCTGAAGCAGGAGAGTCACTTGCCCCCAGGTGTTCAAAGTTTGAGACTCTCGCCTGAGTGGCAGAGCAAGACTCTGTCTCCGAATAAAACAAACAAGCAAAAGCCAAATAAAAAAAAAAAAAAAAGAGAGAGAGAGGTCAGTTCAGCTCCAGTAAAGAAGGATGCATGGCCGGGTGCAGTGGCTCACGCCTGTAATGTCAGTACTTTGGCAGGCCGAGGATAGCGGATCACTTGAGGTCAGGAGTTTGAGACCAGCCTGGCCAACATGACAAAACCCTGTCTCCACTAAAAATACAAAATTAGCCGGGCATGGTGGTAGGCACCTGTAATCCCAGCTACTTGGGAGGCAGAGGCAGGAGAATCACTTGAACCCAGGCTGTGAAGGTTGCAGTGAGCCAAGATCACACCACTGCCCTCCAGCCTGGGTGACAGAGCAAAACTCCATCAAAAAACAAGCCCCCCCCCCGCCACCACACACACACACACACACACACACACACACACACACACACACAGCCATCTCAAGCTCCTTCTTAACCAGACAGGTTTACATTCTGATGTGAATCTGGACTTCGCTCCCCTTCGAAGTCTTCATCCTCTGCTCTTCACATTATACTTGGTCCATTTTGCTCCATCTGTTTTCTATTCAAGTGATTTTGCATGTATCTGATTCCCCCACTAAGTTGGGAATTCTTCAAAGGATCCCAGTTTCATTCATTCCATATTTTCACATTTTCTTTCACGCAGTAGGCACATGATTGGCGTTTTACAGGAGTACTGTCACTGGAATGTCTTCAGGTCTGAAATGTGCATTTCTCAGCAGGTTTCTGCAGTCGCTAACACCAGCAGAGAACGGACGCAAGAGGGCGCTCCTTCCCCTCTTATTTGAGTTCACGGCAGGACTGACTGACTCCTGAAAACACAGCTTTCACCACTATCGCAGAGGGGCTCTGGGGAATTTTGAATATATATGCTGACACCCTTAGAGAATCACTCACTTATTTTATTTATTCCACTCAAGTTTTTGATTTCATTAGAATCTATTCAAGCAAATAATCACATTGTCAGTTTCTGAACACATACACTGTAAAGAAACATAACCTCTTTAAAAGTAACCACGTCACACTCATTAGGATCGCTGTTATCAACGACAAACAAAACAGAAAATAAGTTGTTGAGGAGGTGGAAAAATTAGAACTCTTGTGCATTGCTGGTGGGAATGTAAAATTGTGCAGCTGCAAAAAAAAAAAAAGAAAGAAAGAAAAAGAAAACAGTATGGGCTGGGCGTGGTGGCTCACGCCTGTAATCCCAGTACTTTGGAAGGTCAAGGCATGTGTCTCATTTGAGGCCAGGAGTTCAAGACCCCCCTGGCCAACATGATGAAACCCCATCTCTACTAAAAATATAGAAAATCAGTGGGGTGTGGAGGCAGGTGCTGGTAATCCCAGCTACACAGGAGGCTGAGGGAGGAGAACTGTTTGAACCTGGGAGGCCGAGGGTGCAGTGAGCTGAGATCGCACCACTTCACTGGAGCCTGGGTGGCAGAGCAAGACTCCATCTCACAAAACAAACAAAAAACAGTATGACGTTTATCAAGAAACTGAACAGAATTTCCACGTGATCCAGTCATCACACATCAGAGGAAATACACAACAGGACTGAAAGCAGGGGCTCAAACAGATGTTTGTACACCCATGTTCGCAGCAGCGTTCTTCACAGGAGCCCAGAGATGGAAGCAGCCCAGGGGACCATGGAGAGATGAATGGAGAAGCAAATGTGGCCCATCCATACAGTGGAATATTATGCAGCCTTAAAAAGAAAGGAAGTTCTGACCCATGCTACAACATGGATGAAACTTGAGGACATTACCCTGAGTGAAATAAGCCAGACACAAAAGGAAGGTGTCTGGCTTTTTTTTTTTTTTTTTTTTTTTTTTTTTTTTTTTTTTTGAGACAGTCTGTCTCTGTTGCCCAGGCTGGAGTGCAGTGGCACAATCTCAGCTCACTGTAACCTCTGTCTCCTGGGTTCAAGCGATTCTCCTGCCTCAGCCCCCTGAGTAGCTAAGACTACAGGCATGTGCCACCATGCCCAGTAATTTTTGTATTTTTAGTAGAGCCAGGGTTTCGCCATGTTGGCCAGGCTGGTCTTGAACTTCTGATCTCAAGTGATCCACCTGCCTTGGATTCCAAAGTGCTGGGATGACAGGCGTGAGCCACCAAGCCCGGCCACAGGAAGGTGAATCTGGACCTAAGCTCAGAAGCAAGAAGGGTAGTGCTTGGATAGACATAAAGCAGGAGGTAACAGGAGAAGCAAGAGGGCGAAGGGAGGAAAGAGTTCTCTACCAGAGCCTTTGTGGGTTCCTGCAAACAGAAGTGACATGATAAAAGAAATATTTTTAGAAGATTAGTGGGATATAGGATAGATCTGAGGGGAGAAACCGCAGGTAGATAAATCACTTTAGATGCTGCAGCAATAAATTAGGGAGTACATTAAAGACGGTGGTCTTGATGAGAATAAATGAATGGATCATGATGGGCGAGGTAGCTCACGCCTGTCATCCCAGCACTTTTGGAGGCTGGGGCAGGCGGATTGCTTGAGGTCTGGAGTTTGAGACCAGTCTGACCAGCATGGTGAAACCCATCTCTAGGGAAAATACAACAATAACAAAAAATTAGCTGAGGATGGTGGCACATGCCTGTAATTGCAGCTACTTAGGAGGCTAAGGCATGAGAATTGCTTGAGCCTGGGAGGTGGAGGTTGCAGTGAGCCAAGATCACACCTGCATTCCAGCCTGGGTGACAGAGTGAGACTCCATCTCAAAATGGAGGCCAAGCGTGGTGGCTCACATCTGTAATTCCAGCACTTTTGGAGGCCAAGGCAGGTGGATCACGAGGTCAGGAGATCCAGAGTATACTGACCAACCTGTTGAAACCCTGTCTCTAATAAAATAAAAAAAATTAGCTAAGTGTGGTGGCATGTGCCTGTAGTCCCAACTACTTAGTAGGCTGAGGCAGGGGAATTGCTTGAGGTTGCAGTGAATCGAGATTGTGCCACTGCACTCCAGCCTGGCGACAGAGCGAGACTCCATCAGAAAGAAAGAAAGACAGAGAGAGAGGGAGGGAGGGAGGGAGGGAGGAAGGAAGGAAGGAAGGAAGAAGGAATGGATGGATTAAAAGGTTGCAACTTGGTGACAAAAAAACAACAACAAAACAAAACAACAACAAAACAAAACAACAACAATGGGTGAGGATTGGAGGGTGAGTCAAGGAAGCAGAGTCACACTGGGTCGATGAAGGCTCTAGCCCAGACTTCTGGAAGGCTGCTGCCGAAACCCTCCACACTATCTACATTCCAATTGCTGCATGTTAAACAAAGTAAATATAATCCCACAGGTTTTTTCCACATCATATGAGTGGCTTGCAGACTTTACCAAAGTTTTAGTCTTTGATCATTTTGTTTTTTCTTTTCTTTTTTTTTTTTTTTTTTTTTTTTTTTTTGAGACAGAGTCTTGCTCTGTTGCCAGGCGCCAGGCTGGAGTGCAATGGCGCGATCTCGGCTCACTGCAACCTCCACCTCCCAGGTTCAAGCAATTCTCCTGCCTCAGCCTCCCGCGTAGCTGGGACTACAGGCGCATGCCACCACGCCCAGCTAACTTTTGTGTTTTTAGTAGAGACAGGGTTTCACCATGTTGGCCAGGATGGTCTCAATCTCTTGACCTCGCGATCCGCCTGCCTCAGCCTCTCAAAGTGCTGGGATTATAGGCATGAGCCACCGTGCCTGGCCGTTTTTTTTTTTTTTTTCTAAGTCACTCCGTTTTTAAAGAAGGATACTTTTGTCTCCTCTTTTTCTACAGCCTTGCTCTGCGGTGATTCTTATGTGCCCATGAGAAAACCAAGGTATCGAAGTAAATGCCATCTGCTGTGGCCAAATCTTTATGATTTATGTACCACTTGCTCATTCCTTTTTTTAATCTACAAGGCTAGGAGATAAAACACATTGGCATTAATGGGACACATATTGGAAATGCAGAAGCCTGGTCCCCACCCCAAGCCTCATGAATCAGAATCAGCATGATCTCTTTAAAGATATGGAATGCTTCATGGATTGGCGCGACATCCTCCCGCGGGAGCCATGCTAATCTCTATCGTTTCGACTGTAGCATATACGCTGCCGAGGCAAGCACAGAATCTGCATGTTTCATAAGCGCTCCTTGCATTCATATGTACGTTAAAGCTTGTACAGTAGGAAACCCTGTCCTGCACAACAAAGAACTCCTAACAAAGTTCTCCACCAGCTTTTCAATCTTACTTCCTCTTCGTCCAACACTTGAACTCTCTGCTTCCACCGCAATTCAGAAAAGAAAGTATCTTTGCAGGCTGGGCGCAGTGGCTCACCCCTGTCATCCCAACACTTTGGGAGGCTGAGGCGGGCGGATCACCTAAGGTCAGGAGTTCGAGACCAGCCTGGCCAACAGGGTGAAACCCTGTCTCTACTAAAAATATGAAATTAGCTGGGTGTGGTGACGCATGCCTATAATCCCAGCTACTTGGGAGGCTGAGGCAGGAGAGTGGCTTGAACTCAGGAGGCAGAGGTTGCGGTGAGCTAATAGCACGTCATTGCACTCCAACCTGGGCATCAAGAGTGAAAGTTCATCTCAAAAAAAAAAAAAAAAAAAAAAAAGAAAGAAAGGAAGTGTCCTTGCATCGACAAGTGGTGGAAGAATTGAGTTTTTAATTTTATTTTATATTTCACTTTATTTTGAGAAACAGTCTTGCCCTGTTGCCCAGGCTAGAGTGCAGTGGTGCGATCTTGGCTCACTGCAAACTCCACTCCTGGGTTTAAGTGATTCTCTTGCCTCAGCCTCCTGAGTAGCTGGGATGACAGGCATGCACCACCAGCCCAGCTAATGTTGTATGTTTTTAGTAGAAATACGGTTTCACCATGTTGGTCAGGCTGGTCTTGAACTCCTGGCCTTAGGTGATCCACCCACCTTTGTCTCAGAAAGTGCTGTGATTACAGGTGTGGTGTGAGCCACAGTGCTGTGATTACACAGTGGTGTGAGCCACTGTGCCCGGCCAGAAGAATGAGTTGACTATAGCTGGGCACACAAGAAAAGTGAGAATCCACAAGACAGTACTTGATTAAGTGCTAGATGACAAGCAGAAGCAAGACATGCTCTGAGTTGGAAGGAGTTGTCATGATTTTTGCAGTTTTCACTAAGTAGAGCGTTAATCTGGTCTTTTAAGGTTGGGGAGGTTTCTGCAGACAGGAGCAGGGGAGAAGGCCAGGGATATGGAGTGGTCTATGCAAAGCAGACAAATAAGAAAGCAAAAATGAACAGAGATTAGACAACTTTGCTATCAAGGGGAGTAGCCACGATATGACTAGAAAAACTGAATATGAAGCCAAGTATTTGTTTGGGAGGGCAGTGTTTTCTCTAAGTTATTCGTGATAAAATGTTGATATATTGCATTCCATCGTGAAACAAACAGAAACGCTTTTTATTAAAGAAAATGGCTGTATAATTAATTGACGTGCATTATAAAAATCACAACCACGTGTGCCCATGAGAAAACCAAGCTATAGAAGTAAATGTGATCCGCTGTGGCCAAATCGTTGGGATTTATTTGCTGCTTGCTCATTCATTTTGTCATCTACAAGGCTAGCAGATGAAAACTTGGACTGATTACTACAGAAAAACAAGTATATATAGGGAAAAAATATTTACAAACTGAGAAAGTTCCACTAACTTTTCTTTTCTCTGTGAACTGGGGAAAGGTCAGGGTCATCTGATAAAAGGGCAGACCATTTTGGATCAGCTTATAGACTGCACTCTTCCCAGGGAACGTGGATTAAGTCCTTCAGTGGACCGTGGGAAGCAAGATCTTGAAAGGATAACACGTGCTCTTAGGCAGATTACTCCGGTAACCGTATACAGAATGAACTGGTGAAGAGAGCCAGGAGAGACAGGATGACCAGTTAGGAGACTGCGGCAGTAAACAGTAGTAATCCCGGCTTGAGTTAGTACAAGAAGATCTTGTATTTATACCATACTCTAGGTATACAAATTCTTCTCACAGACCCTCCTTAAAATGATTATGCGACATAGGTAGAGTCTTTTTTTTTTTTTTAATTTGGAAGTTTAATTTAAAAGGCAGCTATGTGAGTGGCATGTTTTTTAAGATGGAGTTTCACTCTTGTTACCCAGGTTGGAGTGCAATGGTGCTATCTTGGCTCACTGCAACTTCCACCTCCTGGGTTCAAGCAATTCTCCTGCCTCAGCCTCCTGAGTAGCTGAGACTACAGGCACCCACCACCATACCCAGCTAATTTTTTGCATTTTTAGTAGAGATGGGGTTTCACCATGTTAGCCAGGCTGCTCTCACACGCCTGACCTCAGGTGATCCACCTGCCTTGGCCTTCCAAAGTGCTGGGATTACAGGCGTGAGCCACCGTGCCTGCCTGTGAGAGGCGTTTTAAGAAGAATTGGCAGGACTTGTTGTGAGGGTGGTGGGGAAGTGGGTGGAGAGGGACGGGAGAGGAATCAAACATGATACCAGAGTGTTTAAGCTCTGGTGACTTGGAACGTCGCTGCTATTGACCGAAGTCTAGAGGGAAAGCTGGTGTGGAGAGGGGATTGTGATGGTAAATTTTTTTGCTTTTTATTCTGAAATAATTTCAAATTTACAGGAAATTAGACTGAAAGAATCAAACGAAATAACTCACCTATTCTCTGCCCAAAGACTCACTCACATTTCCCCTGTGGCTTCTAGGACATTTTTTTTTTTTTTTTTTTTCCTGAGATGGAGTCTCACACTATCACCCAGGCTGGAGTGAACTGGCACAATCTCGGGTAACTACAACCTCCGCCTCCCAGGTTTAAGTGATTCTCCTGCCTCAGCCTCCCAAGTAGCTGGGATTACAGGCGCCCACCACCACACCTGACTAATTTTTGGCTATTCAGTAGATAATATCCAAAATTGTATGTTGGCCAGGCTGGTCTTTAACTCCTGACCTCAAGTGATCTGCCTGCCTTGGCCTCCCAAAGTGCAGGGATTACAGGTGTTTGAGCCACCACTCCCAGATTTCAGTGACATTCTTTACAGCATAACAGTCACACATCGGACACAGTCGCTCTGCTGAATCTCCTTCCATCTGGGGCAGCTTAAGTTTCCTTGGCTCTCAAGGCCTTGACTTTTTGACTATTTCAGCCCATTGTGTAGGCTGTCCCTCAGTTTGGGTATGTCTAGCGTTCCCTTGATAAGACCTGGGTCCTGCATCTTTGACAGAAACGTGGCAGAAGTCATGCCGCCACTCTTCATTGGGTTTCACCACGTGGTACACAGTGTCAGCTTCTCTCATTACCTGTGGGTTCACTTTCATGATTTGATTAGGATGATGCCTGCCTGGTCTCACCATGGTAAAATTACTTCTAAGCACTTTCTAATTACTGAAATATTTTGTGAGGAGATGCTTTGAAAGGCTGCCGGCAAGCCTGGCTTCCGGAGTGTTCCACCTGATTCGCTGCAAAGCCTCCTGACCTAGGAGGGTCCCAGGTTTCGGTTTACTTTTTGCTCAGGAAGGAAGCGGGCAGGGAAGGGAGGAAAGAAAAGAGATAAGAAGGGGAAAGGATGGGAGGGAAGGAAAACGGAGGGAAGGAATGAAGAGAGGGAGGGAGCGCGGAAGAAAGGAAGAAGGAAGGAAGAAAGGGAGGGAGGGAGGGAAGAGGAAGGCAAAGTCTGGCAGGGTTGCTCATGCCTGTCATCCCAGCACTTTGGGAAGCCAAGGTGGGAGGATCACTTGATTCCAGGAGTTCGAGATCAGTCTGGGCAACATAGGGAGGCCCCATCTCTATAAAAGGAAGAAGAAAACATCAGCGAGGCATGGTGGGATGCACCTGCCCCAGCTACTCAGGAGGCTGAGGTAGGAGAGTCTGGGAGGAGAGCCTGGGAGGTAGGAGAGCCTGGGAGGTGGAGGCTTTAGGGAGCCATGATCATGCTACTGCACTCCAGCCTGGGCAACAGAGTGAGACCCTGTCTCTATTTATTTATCTGACACAGCGCCTGGCTCTGTCACCCAGGCTGGAGTGTAGGAGCTCAATCTCAGCTCAATTTCATTTTTGCACTGGGCCGTGCAAATTACGCAGCAGCGGGCCCAGGGTGACAGAGCAAGAGTCAACTCTTCTCGCCTTTGGGACTATTCCGTGGTGACAGTGAGAGGGCAGGATTTTGTCCTACCGTCAGAGTGGAAGTAACCTTGGATTTCACCTTGGGCATGTGTGTCTGCAGGGCATGGTGCAGAACTTGCAGGGCTGGCTGTACAGACAGAGGCGAAGGATGAGTCCAAGGCCTTTGGTGGATCTGACTTAGACAAAGAAGTTGAGGTAGAAAAAAAGTGGGGTGGGCCAGGTGCGGTGGCTCATGTCTGAAATCCCAGCCCTTTAGGACGCTGAGGTGGGAGATCTCTTGAGACCAAGAGTTCGAGACCATCTTGGGCAAACCCGGTGGCAGGAACCTGTCTCTACAAAAAGTTGTTTTTAAAGTTAGTTGGGTGTGGTGTGTAGTCCCAGCTATTCAGGAGGCTGGGGCAGCTGGATAGCTTGAACCTGGGAGCTTAGAGCAGCAGAGAGCCGACACCACGCCCCGCCCCACCAGCCTGGGCGACAGAGCGACGCTGTCTCAGAAAAAAAAAAAAAAAAAAAAGAAAGAAAGAAAAAAGAAAATAAACAAAAGAAAGAAAAAAACAGAGCCAGGTTAAGGAGGGGGCCACTGCAGGCCGAGGACGAGCCACGCACCCCTCGTTCCAGCGCTCAGGTCTGCCTGGGGTCCGGGCCCCGTGCCAGGGGGCGCGCCGGGGGCCAGTCCGAGCAGCCTCCCCCGCGGTCCACACCGAAGCCAGTGCGCGCGCTCGACTAGGCTCCCCATTCCGATCCGACCCCCGGCCAAGCCGGAATCCGGGACACAGGGGCCGGTCCAGTAGCGGGGAGCGAGGCCTGAGCGTCAGGGCCGCGGGCACGGCCTGCCGGGCGCCTGGATCGCGGCCCGCCCCCTCGGCCAGTCCCCTGCGCGCGGCTGGCGGCCCGCAGCGAGCGTCCTGGGCGGCGGGGGGCACCCTGCGCGGTCTTCCCTGCAGGCGGCGCGCCGGGGTGGGGCGGAGGCCTCCGTGGGCCCCGGCACGTCCCGG